GTGACCTGCCAGCCAGCTTTGAGTTTTATGTTTGATAAAGAAAGGTGTATAAACAATTTGATAAATTGTGAAAAAAATAAACACGTTATTGAAGTGCAGCGTATGTGTATTCATTTTCTGTAAAGAGAAAAAACAAGCTACTTAAATCACTAAGGCCCGGTTCACACCTGGGCGTTTTGTAGCGTGTTCCTACGCTCTGCAAAACACTCAAACACCGAAATCCCATTATTTCCTATGGGTATGGTTCACACCTGGGCGTATTACAGGCCGTATGAACGCGCTACAAAACGCCCTACGCCCAAAGAAGTACAGGAGCTTCTTTGGGGCGTATTTGCTGCGCGTATCCATTGGGATATAGCCAGGTAGCCCTCGGAAACGCGCGTTTGTCGCGCGGGTTTTTACCGCGATTTGCGGTAAAAACTCACATATTCTATACGCGGAGGCGTGAACCAAGCCTTAAGTAGAGGGATTCAAGGCAAATATACATATTCCACAACATTCTGTCCTGCTCACTAGCAAATTTGATTAAATGGTGCCTTTTACCATTGTTACAATAGAGCTAAACTGAGTGGAAAGGTTTGTCATTTCCTGGCTAGGGATGCACATTAAAAAAAAAAAAAACATGATTAAAAAATATAAAAAGTTTTATTATATTATAAAACCTAAATCCAATGCTAACCCACAACATTTCATCTCCTGGCAAGGCCAGCCCAATATAAATAAAATGAATTAAACAAGACTAATATTTGAAATCATCAAGACAGATGTCTTTGTGAAGTCAAACACGTGGGACCCTCATATCCTGTATAATGATTGATTAGCTGCTTAGTGTATATAGACATCTGCCAGATGGAGAAAAAAAAAACAATATACTCTATGCGGAATGCAAATAAAATGATGTCCACACAGTACAATAAATGATAAATCTCTGGTTATACTTCCGTTGGTCTGAAAGGGCCAATCAGATGCAGGGCTGATTCTCAAAATACAGTAGCCACAGTGGGAGCTTGCACCAGCCACCTTTCAAAAAGCAAAGGATCTAGAAAAGTTTCGCCCTTATCTATTTAAATACAAGTTCAACACTAAGTACTAGCAATACACCACAAACCTGGAAGCTATAAATGTAACATGTTGCCATTCCAGCTTAAGGTGACATTAAAGTCTAAAGCACCCCCTGCTTACCTTTAAATTATGCGATCATCATCATCTTCTTTCCAGTAGTTTTCAGGAGTCCCTCCAGCACTGACCGCTGTGTCTTCCTATCCCATGATGTCTATCCAACATACACGCTGCCAGACTGCCTGCATTGACTTACCCTGTGTGTCTCCTCTTCTCCTGGCCAAAGACCTCTACTGTGCATGTGCCTGCCCCATGATCCTTCACGGCCGATCAAGTATCTTCAGATCTGTGGATGGGAGTGCGCGGCGGAGATGCAGGTAATTTGTTTTTTTTTGCAAACATCTACTGCTTGCTAGCAGTAGATATATGCAATAAACCGCGAGGGTTTAATTGTCCTTTAACCTTATTCAAACTAAAACCATCTTTCTATTCACTGCAGCTCCTCTTTGCGGTATTTACCGCACTTGCTGTCACTGTTTGACAGCTGATACAGATCGGGATCCCCTGTGTACTGGCTCTTTTTTTTCTACAATGTTTCAGAATAGAAAGCTACATGTTTCTTTTCTGAAATAGTGTTGCAGGCTTCTGGGAGTGATCGGAAGCCTTTACTGACGCTGACCCTGCCATGCTGTCAGGATCAGTACCACTAAGGTTATTATTGGCAGTTCCCAAGTTTGGAGCAACCTAATAACCAAAAATAATTTACATTATTAAGAATTAAGCAGACAAAGTGAGATAAAAATCTGCAGCTGAGCAATGTTCAAAGTATGTCGCTGTCACTAAGGCTGGGTTCACACCTAGGCGTATCGAATATGCGCGTTTCGCGCCGCATGTTTTTTACCGCGATTCGCTGTAAAAAAACGTGCGACAAATGCGCATTTCCGAGTG